ATTTAAATCAATAATATAAATCAATTTTACTTAATATTAAAAATAATTGTTACTAAATACTGTGATTATAAAGTAGATTTTGTAATAAAATATAATTTTATAATGTTACTTAAAATAAAAATAAAATTAAGTGTTTAATTAAAATTTATCTTCAATATTATTGATTAAATGTCAATTGAAAGTATTTTTACTAAATTAACAAAATAAAAATAATTTTAAAATCTATAATTTTTTATAAAATAATTTAATATTTAATATAAGTTACTATAAATTATATTCTATACTATTATATTACGATTACTATTGTAATATACTAATTTGACTATTGTTTATCATATTTGGTAAGTTAATTAAGAGTAAAATATACATAATAATAATTTTTATTATTATTATTATTAATTTATTTGGGTTAGAATAAAATTTATATTATATTATTTTGAATATGATAAAATGATAATTAAAAATTAGTAAATTTTATACTCTATTAACATTTAAATAAAATGATTCACACTTTTTATTTCTAAGCATATAAAACAAAACTTTTACTTTTAAAGACAATAATTAAACAAAGTATTATACCGTATATTAACATTGCAGTATATATCATATTAAAGTAAAGGATTTTAAATACTAAAAAGTAAATTTATAATTATTTTTTTATATATAAAATTAATCAAATATTCTGTACTATTAATAAAATATTTTAAATTAGCTATATTAATTTAATTAACCTACAATATATATTTAAATTTGTGAGATTTAAGATTAATAATGCATTTTATGATATCAATATTAGTTTCAAAGTATTATTTAAAATTTAGATATTTATGATTATAATTATTTTTTAAAAATTTATATCACCTGAAAATTGGCTACAATTATTAAACTATATTTTATGCTAAATAACATTATGACATATCTCTCTATAACACAATATGATTAATAGTTTGAGACTTGAAATCTTAAATGAAAAGCAAAATAATAATATAAGTTTCGTCATATATTAACAATTATTGAGGATTGGCCTACAAATTATAAGTAGTTGGCAACCTTATTTACTACAATATAATACATATTTTTTATAGATATTTTTACTCAACTACATTCTAGTACATAAGTAAATCATAAGAAATATTTACATATAATAATGTAATAAATTAATTTATACTAATTACAAATGCTTGAATTAAAAATATATTACTTGAAACTATTAAAATTATAACTTTTTAATTGGTTACCTGTATATAACTAAATTTAAAATAAAGTATAGCAAACTAACCAAATTGTTTAATTAATAACCAGATAACCTATCGCTTAACCCATAGTCAGCACTCATTCAAAATGCATATCAAATGGTAAATTAAAAATTACGAAATGACTTTTTTTGCAGTTTATCTATAATGTATTTTAAAATACAGATTATGCCATATATCATATCATAAAATATGATTACTATTTGTGCCCAAACAGTATGTTTAGTTACAATACTGTATCTGCAAATGTTTGTGCATTGAATGTACTGTTTTTATTAGCACTCATATTATAAGTGACACACGCGTTGGTGTATTCATTCATTTAGTTTTCATTTAGTCTTAAACTTAATTTATTGTATAAATTTTGTCTTTATTTATCATTTTTATGTACTGTATATATATATATTATATGTTAGTTAAGTATTGCCGAGAAATTAATGTTTTTTTTCTTTAAAAATAACAGACACTGTAATGAATATTTGAATGATTCTCTCAATTGCTTTGAAAATCGTTATCTTCAAAGTGTTTTGACATAATGTTAGTTTTTAAAAATCATACAAATTTAATATTATTTATTTTTACCAAATAAAAATGTTTGTTGGTCATTTTATATAACTATCAAATTTAATTTATATCATTTTTATTAAATCAATGAGTCATTAAAAATACAAAGATATTTTTATTTTATAAAAAATAATTAGATAAGTATATAATAATAAATTTATTTATCAGAGATTTTTATAAATCAGTTTTTTAAAATTAATTTTATCATAAGTTAGTAATTTATGTAAATAGCAAATGTTTATCATATAGATAGTTTATAATATCAAAAGGTTTTAATTTATCAATTAAATATTAAGTTCGTACGTATTTTAATAATCAATTTAATAGTTAAAAAGTTTGTATAAATTTTATGAATGAATGACATAATTTTCTTATCATTTTATAGTATTTAATTTTTACTAATTTTTAAATATAATATCGTTAATTAAATTTATTTTGAATTGAAAATTGATTTAAATAAAACAAACATAAAATTATATTTGCTAAACTGTTTATCAATTTATTTATAAAATATAGAATTACAACAAATATACAAATTATATTTAATAAATTTATTTATAGTTAAATATTTATTTGTGTAATAATATCTTTGCTCATTTTATAATATTAATAATTTTAAATAAATCACTACTATTTACAATATTAATTAAATTTACACCAAAACTATTTTGATTATAATTATCACAATACTAGTTATAAAACGGAAGACAAAGTTATTTTATTTTAAAAATATATATAACTTATATATTCTAAGATATATTTTCTAACAATAAGAGTTATAAATAAGTTTTAGTATATTTGGCATCGCTTTTCATTTTGAATCTTTCATAACGTTTGTRTTATTAGGTTTTCAATCTATAAATCTCACTATTAATAGGTAGAGAGGAGTAATAGGAAAGAAAGTAAGATATAGTAAGTGATAGAGATTTAGGAAAAATTTTCACTTAAAGCATACGATTGTGAATAAAAATAGACAAAAGATTGAAATGCTTTAGTTGGGCGACAAAGTGTCGCTATTATATACATTTGGAAATTTATTTTTAAAATTTATTGTTATTTGCTTTTCAAATCAAATTCCTTAACATATATTTTGCTTTTGCTGTTTTTGCTATCTTTTATTATAACAAGACGTTGTGTTAAAAAAAATCTAACAATTTATTAGACAGGAGTGTGTTGTCATGAAATGCTTTATTACACTATTGTTTAATTACATATGTTTTTGATTTTATTTTCTATATAGTATTTACTTTATTAAATATATATTTATTAGTTAAATCTTAAAATTTATTGAATAATTTATCACTTATCTTATTAAATGTCAAATGTTTAATAATTTTTGACTAATAAWTTTTGCCATTATAATATAGTTAATTTAACTAGCTAATTAATATTTTATAAGAATAAATATTAAATAATTTTGTTATAAATACAGTATAAACATACTTAAATCAAGTAACTTGAAATAAACAAAAATAATTGCAAACTAAGTTATAATTTTCAATTTAATTTAAAGGTTAAAACAATAAAATAATTAATCGATAAATAAATATTATTGTCTAATTTTATGGACATTTCAATTTTATTGAATATTTTATTTTCATTGCTTGAGTAAACTTTATATTAATATATAATATTTTTAAATATATAAAAATATTTGCTGTTTTTTTAAATACTTGTTAATTAGCTATTGAAATAAAAAATTTTAAAATAAATAATTTTATTATATTTTACAATTTTCAAAATTTTTATTAGACTTATATTAAATTATAAAATTGTATATATATTTCATATATTATAGAACGATATTAGTTATCAACAAATGTTTTTCATAAATTTAACTGAAATGCATTGTATTTTACTAATATATAATTATAAATATTGTAAAGCTATTGTTTTCTAACAAAATAATTACTAAATTACTTAATTTTAACAATTAACAGCTTTATTTTATGATTATTTTATAGATTTTAGTTTTAATAAATTATTTTAAATATACTCAATTTTATGACTGGTCATAAAATATTTTTATATTTATATAGTATATAATACACAAAAGTTGCTTTTAACTGATATATATTTTTATGTAATTTATGACAATTACTGCCATAGAAATTAAGCTATATTTTAAATCATAATTAAATCTATATATTTCTATTAAAATTTATTATTTTTCATATTTTTAAAAATTAATTCCAAAAATTTAATAAAACTATAAATTGTAAATTAATGCAATATTACAAATATTTGCTAACATTAGCATGCAGATTTTAACATTAGTATCTAACCGGTAATTATGCAACAAGAAAATCCTTTAATGTATTTACGTAAACATTTTGTATATTTATTTTAGCAAAAAAAACACAGTAACTATAAATTACTGTATCATCAATGCACACATTTTTAATATTAATACTCAACTATCTATCTATTTTAGTATATCCTATAAAAAAAACTAGAAATCATTATTTTTATATATTCTATACATTGTTTCTTACAAATTTAATATTATTGTAATTTATAATAGAGTATATTTCTAATTAAATATGAAATAATATTTTCAAAAATTAATATTAATTATAAGTCAAAATTATTACTAAGCATTTATACAGAATAACTTATGTTTCTATGAATAATATGCTATCTATTTATTTAATTACAATTTTAATTAATACTTATTGATATTTATAATGTATTAGAATAAATATTTGAAAATATAGAATAATTAAATAAAATGAACATGTTAAAATAGTGAAAACAATAACCATGATGATATTTAGATAGGAGTACCTCCACCTCATTTGATTTAAGTTACGATATATACTGTGAGCACCAGTAGGTCATGCGCTGTGGTATTAAATGTGCAATAATTTGACTGAAAGGGGCAGTGCTTTAGCATGACTTCACATATTAAAGAGTGTTTCACACAATGTTTACGTCCAGCCATTCACTGAACACTGTGTGTGATGTTTGTTGACGAGTGTTTGCATTAGTTTTGTTATGTTTGTTGTTATTTGTAATCATTTTTTAAAAATAATTAATTATTATTAATATTAATAATCAAATCTAACTTAAATACATGTTTTCTCATGTAATCAATAATATATAAACATTTTATTTCATTGATTAATATTTCGGATTTTAATTTGAAATTTTTTTTTATATTTAATGTTTCAATTAGTTTTCAAACATTATTTATATATAGTTTTGCTGTCATAACAATCATAACAATCATAACAATCATATCAATCGCTGGCAAACTATTAGTTATCGGTGACCATAGAGTCGGTGACACTAATCGGCAAACATATTGTGACCAAACTATACGACACAACGATTGGCACAACAAAAGTGTTTATCGCATATTATCGCCACTTATTGAACGTACTATTGAACGGAAAAGTTTGCCGAAAATTGTTATTCGGCCGGCGATCGACCAGTAATTGAGAGGACAATACACGTGATCGGTAGACAAACACACGAAGCGTACGATCACTACGACAGGCTTCGGACAAACAACTTAATGATGAATTCATATGAACTGATCGGCAGTAAGACATCGCCGTTGTGTCACATGTTTGACTCGGACCGACTGTTGGCCAGTGACAGCAACGAGGACAGCAATGATGACCACTCGTCCAATACGGTCGATAAGTATCACACATTAGACCATTTGGACAGTTATGATACAGTTATGGACTTAGAAAACAATTTGATGAACTGCCACAACAACGGTCTCATGAATGATGGCCACAATCATCACAACAGTCATCACCCGAACCATCATTTGGGTCACAATAGCATCGATCTTAATGGACATCTCATCAATAATAATGCTAATAATAACTGTTTGAATAGTAATAATAATAATAATAAACGCAAACAAATAGAGACCAATGGTATGGCCAACGGTGGACAACAACAACAGTCAGGTGTGCCGAACGGTGTGTCCGTAAGCGGTGCCAACAAACGGGTTCCGCCACCGAATGGCAAGAAAACAAAGGGAAGAGTGAAAATCAAGATGGAGTTCATCGACAATAAGTTAAGAAGATATACCACTTTCTCTAAACGCAAGACTGGAATCATGAAAAAAGTTTGTAGTCTTTTGATATTTTTTTTAACAAAAAATTTTAAACAAAAAAAACATTTTTAGCACTATTTTAGGTTATTTTATAGTCAGAAAAAATAAAGTTTTGCTTAACTTTGCAAACATACTGTATATCTATTTGTAGCGACAACTCTGCAGTTGAATAATATTTGCTTATTGAGTCTCTAATTTTATTATTATTATTATTATTACATTAGTTATAAGTTTTATTTTTAGCTCTGAAAAATCGTCTCATTTATTTGGGGTCCGGTTCTCTCCCTATCAATACTTTTTTAGTGAGACATTACGAGTTAGAAAATTATTAGTAATTTTGTCAATCAATTTTGAAAATTTGTTTTTTCCCAATAATTTTATAAGTTATTAATATTATTATTATTTTTAAAATATATTTTACAGTAGTAAAAATATGATTTATTAAAATTTCATTTTTATTATATAAGATTTATATGAATTTAATTGCTGTGACTAGCATTTGGACAAACATTTTTTCATAATTTATAGACAATCAGTGAAAAAAATGTTTAAATATTTGTTTAGATGTTATTTAGTTGTGTAAAGAATTTCTCTCTTTATATTTAAATATATATATGTTTTATGATTATTGATATTTGGATTTATCTCTCACTGTTGTGATAATCTTAGGTCAGGTTAAGACATGACAAAACATATGTATTGTTTTGCTATATTACATACTAAGCCATACATACTGTTCATTACAATTGTTTGCATTCAATTTGTTTACTCTAATGATTAAACAAAACAGATTTTTTAAAAATATATATATTGTTGTTTTATTAAATGAAAATTATTATATATACAAATGTACAAATGTTTGGTTAACATGTTATACAGTATTGTATACAATAAGGATTGTATTTAACTTAAAATATTATATAAATTATAAGAGAATATTGTATTTTATTTTTTAATACATTTTTTACGAAAAAAATTTGAATTGACATTATAGTTGTGTATTCATTTAGTATGCCTTTGGTTTTTTTATGTTTTTAGATATACAATATCTTGTATTATTTCTATTTTTTATTTAAAATGTAATTTTATACAATTTGTAGTGTTTAAGAATATTTTTGTTTTTTATTGTGATTTTTTATATGTAACATATTGTCCCTCATTTATATTATTTATTTAAAAAAAGAAGTGCACTTTTGTTGAAAAATAATAATTCAAAAATATTGAGTTTTAGGTGTTTTAAAGTTTTTAAATTAATTTTATTAGTGAAAGATTTATTATATAAAAAACGGGAATGACTTTCAAGTTTTCTTTCAATAGCCTGCAAGCAATTCCATTGCCCTATAGTTTTACATACCGTTCCCTTCCGTTATAAAATCATATAATATGTTGTGTAACGTATGATCCATTTGTTACAGAAATTCCCAAATTAGACACAATTGGAGACAAATTTAGGTATCAATTATAGTTATATTTATTTATTTAGTATAAAATAAATAAATTCATTTTTAATCACAACTTGATTGCCAATAGTTAACTCAATTTTAGACATTTTCATAACAGATGTTAGATATAATATCGACTCTCTCTCTCTCTCTCTCTCTCTCTCTCTTCTATGTATGTATGTATGTATGTATGTATGTGTGTGTTAAGCAGTTTTATGTTTTTATATATGATTTTCTATCTAATATATTGGACTTGGAATTGCTATTCATTGCATAATTAAGTACTATTATCACATAAAATGCATTTTTGTAAATGAAATAGAGAGTTAACTTAAATTTATTATAAAATATTTTTTAATTGACTTTAAAATTAGTTTAAAAGCATATTTTATTTTTGACATTAATTTCATATTGTGCATTTTGTATATAAAAAGTGCATATGAAATATTATTGATGACCAGGTGTGTGTGAAAAACACGATATATAACTTTAGATTAGTTATATTTGCTATTGTTTAGCGATTAAAATATTTAATTTTATTGATTAACACATTGTTATTGATGGTGTTGTTGTGGACAGGCATACGAATTATCGACACTTACGGGCACACAAGTGATGCTTTTAGTGGCGTCAGAGACGGGACACGTCTATACGTTTGCCACCAGAAAATTGCAACCAATGATCACATCAGACGCCGGCAAAGCACTGATCCAGACGTGCCTGAACTCACCCGACAGTGGTCTTCATTGCGGCGATCAGAGGATGTCCGCCACCGGCTTTGAAGAGACAGACCTATCGTACGCTGTCGGAGATGAATCACCCAATGATAAGGTATTTACTAAACAAGTATTATTAACTTTTATAACAGCTAACACTATATAACTATCATAACCTATACATACAATGTGTAGTTAAAACTTGTTATTTGAAAACACCTAACATTGCAAACTTAATCATACAATAGCATGAGTTATTTTAATATAATAATTTTAAATAACTCATTGAATTATATATTTATTTGACAATTTTTTTTTTGATTTCCTGTCTTATAATAATGTAGTGATTTTTAAAATGATCCAGGTCCACACAATTATTATTTAATTGTATGATATTAATGACCCAAACGTGCGCTACACTAGTTGTTTGATGTATACAAATATTTGTGGGCCAATTGTGATATTAATTATAAATTATGTAAATTTTGCATAAAATTTTAGTCATCAATTGATATTTAATGCTTTTGTTGCGATTATTGTGTTGAAAGTTTGAAATCTATTGTTTCAAAGAAATATATTTGTTATGGATTTCGACACAATTATCCACTTTTGCAAAGGCGTTGTCTTAACTATTTTGTTAGGCATTTATTAAATTAAACACGACTTTCCTCTCGTTATTACACTATTATTAGTTTTTAACTGTTTTATTTAAATTTATTGAAAATTTGCAAAACATATGAAAATAACTATTCAAAGAAAAAAATCATGTGATTCTAAAAGCAAAATTGAAGTTAATTTAAAAAAATGTTTTTTAATATATCTAAATTTTTTATACTAATGTTTATGTAGTATGATATTTAATATTGGGAAATATTTTAGATAACTTTATAATGTAAGCAATTAATCACATGAGTATATAAAGTAAAACTTTGTTGATCTTTTGTAAATATAGACAACAATTGAAATTATTTAATTTATTTTCAGAATCTTTTTATTATAAAGTTATAATTAGAGATAAATTTTAAAAAATCTTGTTTTTTGTGATCAATTAATATTGATTTTTTAAAATAGAAATTTATATTCTAATTATTTGTTAATTTGTTATTTTTAGAATATTTTGGTAAATATTATTATATTAATTTTTTAACAATATATTTATTTGATAATATGATATATCTAACCTTTTTTTATACAGTATTTACTAATATTTATTAATTATTATGATTATTATATGAAACATGTTGATTATTACAATATTTGTCGTATTATTTGCTATTTTCATATTAGAAAACTTGGAGATCTAATAATTAATAAAAATGAATTAAATTTGTTATATAATATCTATTTGGTAGATATATTTTCCGTTTATATTTTGTAGTTTATTTGTATTTCTATCAAAAAGATAATGTTAAATGTGTAAAGTTACTAAATAATAACGTCAATTATTTGCCAATTGTTTGCTTTTTATGGCTATTTCCCAAAATTAATTTATAATACAATGAATATAATGGTTGAAATCACAGAATCTAATGTGTATTACATATACACCAATACATTGTAGAGCATCCATAATGACTTATAAGGATTATATTTCCCATTATATTAATTATGGTATGATTGCTTATTCAATTCCCATAATATCATTGCAAAATTGTCTTATATCTAAACAAAACAGATTGATAATTTGCTAATAAATACATTTTATTTAACTTATTATACGGATATGCAAATCAAATGCAGAATTATATTAATGAATTTTTTATATTAAATATTTTATCAAAAAGAAACCATATAACTATTAGGTTCCTTGATATATGTCTGAAATATCATTGATATTGTTAAAAAATTAGATTATATCATATTTTTGACGTATAAAACATGAGACCACTGAATGGGTTGAAATTTTTTTTAGTTATTTTTAATAAGAATTCATATATACATTGCACAGAATCGTGTTTTTGTTATACATTACTTAAGCAAAAACACTGACTAAACATTTCTTCATTATATATACATTAGGGAAATGTTATTTTCAATCACATATTGTTGTTATTCTGCTATCCTTATACTCTTGCGACTTGTTTTTGCCCCAAATTTGATGTCATATATACACACAAAAGTTAATTTACAACTTTGTTTATATGCTTTTAATTGCCATTTTTATATTTATATAACTATAATATAGACAAATTAATGTATTGCTTTTCATACAGTTATAATTTTTTTAAATCAGTTATTCTTGAACTCAATCTTATTTTTATATTAAATTATAATACATTGACTATAAAACAAAATACTATCAAAAGTTTATTATTAACTAATTTACTTTATTAATTGATATAATATAAATAATTAACAAAATAATATAATATTTGCTAATCAAAAATCAATTGCTTTAACCCATTCCTCACACTTATTTTAATAAGACAGATTACTTTATTATTTATTTATTTTTTATTAATTAAAAATTAACGAGATTAAATTTTAAATAACATAAAATTGATTGTGTTAATTTTATAATTATATTATTTTTTGATTAGCATATATGAAATTATGATTTATTTTGTTAATGTATTTATTTTTCTTATTTTTCCTTATATGTATGCATAATGTTTGTGCCATATATGTGTGTCTCTACTAAATACCTGAATGTCTAACTGACTGACTGACCGATGTCTTGTGGACAGTCTTGTTCATCCATGTCATCGCCCAACTCTTGTTATAATCACAATAACCACAACAATCATAGCACTAATGGTCTGCACGCGCTGTTTGGCGACACAACGCTATCATTGGATCAGTTTGTCGTAACCGATGGCCTCATAGCTAACTGTTCCTCTCCTACTGCACGTCTGCCACCGTTTTGCACCATTTGATTGCAATTATCATTAATTTTATTACCAAAAATTGTTTCTGTATTATGACAGAGTGTATAATTTTATGTTTGTTATTATTATTATTAATTTTGATATAAATGGACACAATGTTATGTTTTATGTTCATTATCTCAGTTAAGTTTTTTAAAGTAATCAATTAATCAATTGTTTTAGTTATTAATTTCTTATAACATTACACTAAATAGCGAAAGTCCTTAATGCTTATTATCATTTGTTTTATTATAATTAATTTTTAAATGATTGTTTTCAAAGTTAACTCTTTATTATTTTATAAGATATCAATTGATTGATAAAAATTCTCGTATATTTAACTTAATGACCAACTGATCTGTGATAAGACAAATGATTTTAGATTAAATTTTTAAAGAGATTTATATCTTAAATATAAGTTAATATATATATATATATATATATATATACAGTATATGCATACATTATAATATTAATTCAATACATTATAGGACTTACTATTGAATGTCTTGGAAAATATTTTTACGATAACAAACCAAACATTATTTTATATTATAATTATTTAAAACATCTATAAACTGAGCTGTATATTGAGCTGAAATAAGTGAATTTAAATGTGCCATAATTTAAATTAAATAGTTGGTAACTACTATATGTAAATTTATTTTGAGGTTTACATTTGTGCCATAATTTTTAAATAATATTAGATTAAACACTATTTTATTTTATTCATAATTACAGCTTTGATTTCTAACGCTTTTAACTCCTATAAAGCTGTGATAGGAAAGAGTGAGTGAGTGGTGTGTGTGTGTGTGTGTGTGTATGAGAGAGAGAGAGAGAGAGAGAGAGAGAGAGAGAGAGAGAGGGATATTTGCTTATAAAATATTTGATTGAATTGAAAAACAAATAATTGTATAATATTTGTTTAAATTTTGCATTTAAACAATTATTTTTCATATAACTATAGTCTATAGACACACATACAAGCATTTGACAAGAAAATGGAGCTAAAGTTTAAATAAATAAAAAAATATTTATTGTTTTGACTTAAAGGTTTGGGTTTTCCTTTTAATAATAATAATAATTTATTGTATCAAAAATATTTTATATTGTTTTAGTGTATTTTGTTATTAGGATATAATTGATTTTTATAAAGAAAATTAGTCGAAAAGTTAAAAATATCTACAGATCTATGCTTTTCTTATAATTTTAATAATATATAGAAATGATAAAAATATTTAAAAAATATTTAACATATATATATAAGTATAATATCCGTTACTAATAATATAGCAATTATGTGAGACAAACAGTTTTGCCTAAACATCAACATAACAATACATAACATTTTGTGAGAAATTAAATAATGCTGTAATAACTGGCGTTTTGTTATTTAATTTGATAATACAATACTGTATCGTTTTGATTTACCAACTATTCATTACATATTTTTGTACCTGTATATGTATTTCATTATATACTTATATATATATATACCAAATAGTTATGCCATATCATGTATGTCTATGCATTTGGCACAGCCTATTATATAATAATAAGAGATCTCAAGTACTCATACCAAACATACCTAACTTTGTTTCTCCCTTTTCCCAACACTGTTATCATACAGTTTAACTAATGTAATCGTTGTTATATTGTATACGGTTTGTCATTATCTGGAAGCCAGTGCCTCGATATTTATCTATTATATCATAATTACATGTTAAATAGATAACAACATTACTTTTTTAATAATAATTTGATTGCTATTATGTATTTATTGTTATAATTGCAAATATAACGTTTACCAATGTATGAATTTTCAAATATATATTTTATAGATTGTATTAAAAATGTATACAAATTTTCCACAGCATTGATATTTGATATGCATATGAATAGGAAATTTGTGTTTTATTTTGTATATTTAATAGGCGTTTGGCTTTTCATGATATTATATTTTTAAAATCAATTGATCTCTTTCACTACACCTTTATTTTTATATACATTTTTCATTTTAGTTTTGCTTTAGTTTTTTTTGTTAAAAACATTTTTAGAAAATTGTTATATGTTTTTAGTTTAACATCAAATAGCGAATTTTCAATAATTTACAACAAAATTATTTTATTTATTATGAATATATATTATTTTTCAGGCATTCAATCAAACAATTTATGTATTGAATTAAAATTTTATAGTAATTCAAAAATTATATTTAATATTTTCTTAGAATATAATATATAAGATT